GTACTCAAACCACAGAGGCAGACTCAAGTACGTCTTGGGAGAGACCACTTAAAATCCCAAATTGCTGAATATCATGATTTTTCAGGGAAAACAACCTGACAGTAGGAGTTGAGAAGAAGCTGCAGCACACCCCACCCAGATGCCAGTGTACCAAGGCATCCACACGCTGCACCATGTGTGTTCTTCTCCTGTGTGAAATAAGATACTTAGAACTCAGAACCGGGAAAACCAAGATGAATGTATTTCTTTTTTTGTAAGTTTGAGGAATTAATTATTCATACCATCAACAGAGATGAAGTTGACTTTCAGTAGCTGATTTAGCACAATGTTTAGAAGGTTATGTATGACTACATTTTTAGAAAAAAAAGAACATAGCAGAGGACAAACTCTTTCAGGGCATTTGTTACAGAGCAAGAATTCACACTAGTTACAGCTTTCATATTTTACCTCATGGTAAGTTTAACTTTAAAAGTGCTTACTTTTGCCTTACAGTAGCTGCATGTACATAATGTGATTGGGATGATGTTTTCATAGGCTTTTTGTCATTGTAAGAGTTTTTCCTAGGTGTTTTATATACATGACCTTATATCTGCTTTGAGGTTCAAAGTAATGCATTTATCTTGTGATTCAGGTGGCTAAGAGCAAGGATCTGGTGAGTTAAGAAGGCTGGGATCATAGTTAAGCATTTAAAACACTCTAACTCAATTACATTTAATATCTGCTTTTTTAAATTTAAATTTAACTGTTCCAACCAAAAATAACTTCACAAACATTATTCACAGCTTATAGAAGCTAAGAGAGAGATGAGTCCAAAAAGAATTAAAATTGAGTTTTCTATCCATCTTAATATGCTATTCTAGAAATTAGTCTTCGTGTTGACAAAAGTGAGAGAAAAAGTGACTCAAATAGTATCGTCCTCACCAGCTCAGAAGGAATGTTCTTTCTTCCTTATTAGAAAACCAGGGAGAGAAGCCAACTGGTTCAGAGGTAGAACTTGTCATCAAAGGAGAACAGCAATCACAGACTTACAGTGCATTTCAGAATGCCTTTTTTCTTTAAGTTCTACCTTCTGAGGTGAATAAATTATGCAAACTAATTCATTTAACTTAAACAATAGCATAAAGAAAAGTGAATTTCTGGTCCTGCAGACTATAAGAAAGTGTTTGAAAATCTAGCCTAGAGCAGGATGAAGTTGTCTGATTTCAGGCAGGGTTATAACCCATGTTCCTTTCCTTCCCTGCCAGGAAAGCAGCTCCTTCATACTCCTGCAACTCTCCCTTTTCTCAGAAATGTCCTGGTTCCCTTCCATTTCCACTTGGTCCACCCCCAAAACAAGCTCAACTCCCAGCCTGCTCCCTATCTGTGTTCTCTGGGTCGCTGGCCCGGCACAGGATGACAGGCTGTGGACGGTCCAGAGCGCTCAGTGTGCTGAGTGATGCCAGAGGAGCACAAGCTGATTGGCTGATGAGAGGCTGCCAAAAAGGATGGGTAATGGTTGGGCTCCGTTTGCCTTCTCCTCAGGGAGGGCATTAGTAATCTCCTTTTCCTCTGCACAGTCACTGTTTTTCCATAAAACTCACAGTAACAGTGTCTTTTGAAACCTCTATATCAGTCAAATTTGTAGGGGGTGGGTTTGGGTTTTTTCTTTCTTTTCTTTTCTTTTTTTCTTTTTTTTTTTTTTTTTTTAAGGTTTTCCCATGAGTACAAAAGCTCCTGGTGCAGGCTGGGGGGGAAAGGAGAAGTTGCCAGGTAGACAGACGTGTGCCTTTTTCCTTTAGAAAAGAACATTCTTTCATTGCTTGATCTTGGGGGCCTGAGCCATGATCTTTGCATAGTCAGAATTGGGAATACTATTCACTATTGGCAGGCACAATGGTCAGAATGACACAAATCCCAAAGATAATATTAAAATGCCATAAAGTTCAGTAAAATGTGCATTTCATTTTTAACTCTTCTTTAGTTTTGCTGGTGCTAATGTGTTGAAGTTTTCTATTGTTGTTGTTTTTATTATTTTTTTGCCAAATAAATTTTAGAACAACTTTTACCTGGTCACTTTATCACTTATTTTTCTCACCTCTGTCATCTATCTCTGCAGTCATCACTTTCCAAAAACACTACAATGAAAGTCAGACACGAAACCAAATTACACATTATATTTTTATGATCAAAGAAATCTGATCCTTCAATAGCTCCTGATCAAGTGCAATTGTTTGTGCTTTTTTCCACACACTTGAAATTTCATAGAAAAAGCCAGCAATGACAAAAGATGAAGAGAAAGGTATTCTACTAACGGCCTAGAGTTATTCAGGGTAGATGGATATGAAGTGAATTTTATGAGGGAAATGGAAAAATATTGCTCTTTACAGAGACTTTTTGAAGAGGAAAAGTAATGCAGCTGCTTGGTGGTTGAGAGCAAGCTCAGCTCTTGCTTGGAGCTCACTGGGGTTCCAGGCTTACAGGAGAGGGCTTTGGTCCCACAGTCACAAACAAATGCTGCAGGGAGCAAAGGGGCCCTTGTTGCAGATTAATGGAATCATTGCAGGGAAAAGAACAGTGAAGCTCTGCCTGCTCACAGTGAGCCCATCAGAGTGGGAAGACCCTGAAGAAGGAGGAGCAGGCAAGGTACCAGTGTGGTTGCAGAGCACGTGCCAAGAGGAGTCACGGTGCTGGAGGCATCGCTTTGCTGAGCACATCTCTTGTCCCTCTCCCTCACAGATGGCTTATAGCCATTGTCTGCCAGAACACTTCATTACTTTCCTATTAATGACTGCTTCATAATTTCCACCTGTTTATTGATGGATCATTGTTTTAAACTGTTTCTAGTGTGAAACCTGGTACCTGTCAGGGTTTCTACTTGATAGGAGATTGCCTTTTATAGCCACATGGTTAAGTCACTCTAGTTTAAAATAAAAAATAAAAATACTTTTATTATGACATTCACTGTCATGATAGTAAACAAACAAACCCCAATTTAAATCCCCCCAAAATTCCCCAACAGGTCAGTGCCTTCCAGAAAGATTCTTACTGTGAATCATCCTGTGCATCTCCCATAAAAATGTATTTCTAGCACTTGACATGCACTAAGAGTCTGTTTAAAATACGTTACAGGCATGACAGGCAGTGTCCAGTGCAAAGTCAGATCTATCCTGTCTTCTAGTTCCAGTGAACCACAAGCCCATTTATGTTACCTCATGTTGAGAGTAGCTGCATCGGTATCCTGTGTGAAAAGCAAATCCTCAGGAGCTAAGGCAGCACACTGCTGGCTTTAAAGGTGGATTTTGGCTAAAATCAGAATATCAGGATGATGAATATGACCCTAAAGCCATATACCTGGAATGTGTGAGTGTGATACATCTATTACATCAAATTTACACCAGGGCAGGACAATTAATTTCAATGGAATAGTTGTGATTTATGTCACTGGTCATGAGCTGAATATTAGGCTCAGTTCTGTGCTATACAATGAATTTGCATGCCCTGGAGAGGTGATACAAAAAGAATATGAATGACCAGGCAGAGAAAAAAAATCTTTGAGAGTTCTGTCCCACACCTTTTCCTATACCAACATTTTTCCTATATGAACACATGCAAAACACCTTGTTTGACACATTTTTAGGTGTGCTCAGAATGGAAAAAGAAGAGAACCTCAGTGAGAAACTGACAATTCAGTCCTAGCTTAGATAAGCAAACTGTGGCATATTGCATGAAATTCCAGGATTTCCCTTTGCTCTAATACACAGATTCCAAATGTACAAACACATATAATACATACCACTTCCAGGGTTTCTGTTTCCTGTGACATACAGCCTATGCTGACCAGTAACTCCCCCCTACCTCCCCACTACGTGTGAATTCCATAATTCTTGCTAACAGCACATCAAATGTGAACTGCATTGTTCTAAGATTTTGTAAGCCAGAACCTATATGTATAAAATCACATCTGGATGTATCTCTGTTACGCAGAAAGCATGTTAAAACTGTATTTTTTAACATATAAGCAGGACTTGGAGAATTCTAAGTATTTGAGTAGTAGAAAGCAAAAGAAAGCACAGAAAGGTATCACTTAAGTTGGTATAATACAGAAACATTTTGAAGAGAAAGAAAAGCTTACCTGGAAAAAGAAGATAAATACACAGTAGAGATTTAGATGTGTTATGTCTTTTAATGCTTTCCCTAATAATGAAAAAAGTAAGATGGACTATTCCTGTATAATATTAGAATGAGTAGCTAAAGATATTCCTCAAAAATACCCTTGCTACTAAAGATCTCTTGATACCTAATTTACTGCCCAGGATTCTGGTGACAGTATGAAGACGAGACAGACTCATTTTTCATAACTCACTGTGAATTCGGTAGAGGATTTATTCTGTGGATTTTGATATATGCTAAAGGGACAAATAAATGAGATTGGCATTTGCATAGTGTCATATTTGCACAAAATCTGCAGTACTGCTTTAACTAGTACCTAGGAAAAACCACTAAGGTTTTCTGAAATAGAAACTGCTGAATATGTATTAGTTGTTGAACAACATAAATTAGTACTCTTTGCAATGCATTTCAAAAGCATTATTTTCCTGCCTGCTAACAGTAACCACTTGGGATTTTCTTTTAAATAGAACAAACTTTCAACTCAAAAAGACTGGTATAAGCCTAAAGCAACTTTAGAGGAAGATCTATTTTAATTCATAGTACAAGTACATGGTTGGTATAATATTTAAGAATGACAGTGCTGTCTTTCAGTCCTGCTGCCCAAAATACTTGGAAATATATCCTTTCAGAATACAGAGAACATATCCTCTACGAAGTACCCAGATAAATCAGTTCACCCTTGGCTGTAACTAAACGCTGTCTAGTGACTTGTGATCGACAGGGCTTTACCCTCTGACAGCCAGATTCATTGTTGGGACAGCAACCAATCGTCGGGTTTGACGACACGAGCCTAATCAAAGTTGGAGTATAAAAAGCCCCCTTGGAATATATAAGGTACACCAGTGTGGCAAGCTGTCTCTCAGATTGCATTTGCTTTCACGGATCTGTTTAGTACTGGAAGGGAAAGGGGGAGGGGGGGAAAAAAAAAAGAAGGGAAAAGTGCTGCACTGAATGTGAGATCATGCAAAAGCTAGTGCTCTATGCTTATATTTACCTGCTCGTGCTGATTTCAGTTGATCCGGTGGCTCTGGATGACAGTAGTCAGCCCACAGAGAACGCTGAAAAAGACGGACTGTGCAATGCTTGTATGTGGAGACAGAATACAAAATCTTCCAGAATAGAAGCCATAAAAATTCAAATCCTCAGCAAACTGCGCCTGGAACAAGCTCCTAACATTAGCAGGGATGTTATTAAGCAACTTTTACCCAAGGCTCCTCCACTGCAGGAACTGATTGATCAGTATGACGTCCAGAGAGATGACAGTAGTGATGGTTCTTTGGAAGATGATGACTATCATGCCACCACCGAAACGATTATCACAATGCCTACAGAGTGTAAGTAACCCTGCTGTTTTCAACTCCCACTGCTCCTCCGAGAGAGTTGTCTCCCTGCTGTAGAGCCACACAACTCCTCCTCGGGCTCTCCCAACAGGCTGCTGGCTGAAGTCTGCTGGAGGGAGGGAGGAGAGAGTTATTTCTAAAGAATTTGAGCCAGGTTCAGATGACTGCGTTACGAGCTTTTGTTTTACTGTTCCTTTTCGGCTCCTTATAATGTGTGTGCCCTGTAGCACTTCGGATTTGCCCAATGCCTTAGAAAGCAAAGGGAGATCTGCAGTTTAGTTGACTTCGTTATCTGCAGCACCCGGGGCATTTCCTATCATAAATACAAAGTACAAGTGCAGCAAATGAGAGAACTATATTTTTGTGAGGGAGGTTTCACTGGTCAGTAATTTTAGCAGCAGTAGAAAACAGCAGAAATGTACCTTAGAACACTAGACCTACCTAACTGCAATATGTTATAGCACTTGCAAGTAGAGAGTTAAATTCTTGCTTCTCTGCTGACCCCATAAACTAGCACCACCCACCTCAGAGTTAAAACTATATATTTAAAGCAAATATGTGTGTAACAGTCTTAAATGTAAAAATGTCCGTGCTCTAGCAATCAGCTCACATAGTCGTGCCAAGGAAGAATGAAGGCATTTACTGAATGAGCAGATTCTGAGTTATCTTCTGAGTGCTAAACATCTGCTATGGCTCCTATCAAGTATCTTTTGCACAGCTAATACTATAGTATCTTGTGTTCTTCATCAGCTAAAGTATTTGGCTATGGCAGCTGTTTTTTTAAATAACACTTATGAATATGATGACAAAAAGGAAAAAGATGACAGGACATATAAGGCATGTTAGCAGTTACAGATATCGTTACATTATGCATACTGGAATAATATCAGCTGCTCTCACCAGCTGAAAATATACTCATCAATGAAAAAGTAACTTTTAGTGCAACTTTTCAAGTTATTAATTAATAAGATGAGCACTTAATAGCATTACACTACTGTAGCCTTATCACAAAGCCGAGGTCTGCCAGCAATTTTATTCCAGCCCATTATGTCCAAGCCTTTATAACTATTTTTAGTCAAACTGCTACATAATTACAGTGACTGCAGAAAAGCCATTGTATTTCATTGCTCTGAGTTCATTTCCTACTTCTTATAAAAAGCCCTTGAGCTATTTTAAATGCACTAAAGAGACAGGTATCTTAAGTGATGAGATTTATGAATGTCAAAGCCCTGCACCATTTAGGATTAGTGCTACCCATTTTATCCTGGCATGGAAAGATATTGCCATGACTAGGTATGACAGCTGCATCATAGGCTACAGGAAGGAGGAACGAAGCACTGCACATGACTTTCCTATAATGTTCTTCAAATGAAAACAAAATGATCCTTATGTTAATCCTCTCTATTATTTTTTTCCCATTGAGAAACGAAATTTAAGTGCCTGTGCAGTTTGCCCAGTGCTGTGCGCTGTGCAGCACACTGAGGCTACGTGGTAAATTAGAAATAGCTGGATCACCACACACGTGTTGAGTCAGCTTATGCAAAGTTGCTCTTCTGCATGCTTTATGAAGGTCCTCAAGAGGTGACTAGCAGAAGTGAGTAGGTGGGAGGTGATAGCATAATAATTTTGTTGACATTCATTAAAGTTGCTGTAGAGTGTAAACCATAGAAAACGAATTAAGTTAAATCCACTTTGTTACTGATACTCTTTACAACATATTGTAATATGTCCTATATAGTTTGGAAGAAATTAGTCAGGTTTATTTATGCATTTTTTCTTGTTCCCTGTTCAGTAATCTGTTCTTTCCATTCATTTATAGCTGATTTTCTTGTACAAATGGAGGGAAAACCAAAATGTTGCTTCTTTAAGTTTAGCTCTAAAATACAATATAACAAAGTAGTAAAGGCACAATTGTGGATATACTTGAGGCAAGTCCAAAAACCTACAACGGTGTTTGTGCAGATCCTGAGACTTATTAAACCCATGAAAGATGGTACAAGATATACTGGAATTCGATCTTTGAAACTCGACATGAATCCAGGCACCGGTATTTGGCAGAGTATCGATGTGAAGACAGTGTTGCAAAATTGGCTCAAACAGCCTGAATCCAATTTAGGCATTGAAATAAAAGCTTTTGATGAGAATGGACGAAATCTTGCTGTAACTTTCCCAGGACCGGGTGAAGATGGATTGGTAAGTTTATTTAGAAAAATCCCATTTTATTGAAAAGCATTTAAGCAATGTTTTAAGGATAAAATGGATGCACTGTTTATGGAATGGAAGAGAAAAGTTCTATATATCCAATTCTTTCATTCTTTGCTCTCTGATCATGCCAAAATCAATAGTGTTCTTCTGCCTCTGTTTCCCTATTTAAAAAAATTGAGAGAAATTGCAGTAGTTCAGAGGGATGTTGAGAGGCATTAACTAGAAAAGGTTTTGGTAATGACTGGTGGATGGTACTACCAAATAACATTGTTTTAAAATTTGAGAGCAAGTACTGCTTAATAAGCAGTTATTTTATATAAAACTAAAAGAACAGTCATTGCATTCTTTCACTGATGAGAAAGATGCCTCCAATACTGCTGAGAAAGCAAGGCAGTTTCTCCCTACTCTCTATGCTTATATTTTATATTAATAACAGCAAGAATTATATGTTTTTGAAGGTGAGAATAGATCTTCATAACGTTAAGTTCTGTACCTTTCAGTATGTGATAGAGTGCATCATTCCACCTATTAGAAATGTTTGAATGGATAAATTCTGCTTGATACAATAAACAGCGATGAGAAAAAGCCTAAAATAACTAAGTGGGTTTCTTTTTCTAAGTATAGATGAACAAACCAAACCTGAAGTGTGCCAGTGAAACTACAGCATTTTCCTTGCTATTTGTTTCTGCAAATCACTAATCATCTACAACCTATAAAAATTCCTAAACTTACCACAACCAAGTAATTTCTCCTTTTGAATAAAACATAAAGAATACTATTTTACTTTTACTTCTGTGCAGTGGGTGAATCTGTTGATTACAGAAATATAGAATTATTTAGTTTGGAAAAGATCTTTAAGACCATTGCATCTGTATTTATGTAGCTGTGTAATATTTAACTTCACAGCAGTATAATGCAATTAAAAAGAACTTAAAAGAAAAACTCTGTGATATCTTAATTGTACATCCAGTATAGATGTGGATCTCCTATACTAGAGAGAGGCCAGGTGGATATCATGATGAGGAATGTCCTCACCATGTCCATCCATTCAAATGATGATATATGTGGGTAACCCATGGCTATCATCATCTATAAATAAGCATTTCAGTGGCAGAGCAGGGTTAAAAGCACAGCTGATAACAGGAGAGGAAATTTTTCTTCTCCTTCCTCCAGGTCCTGCTACAGGGATGCTCCTCTCACCAACTACCTCCCCATATCATTTACCTTTGGGAGGAGTGTCTCCAGCCGCTCCACAGTTTGCAGCTGTAAGGGCAGGTATTTTGGAAGAGAGAAACCTGTGTAACAAAGTTAGCTGGGCCATTAAGTACCACTAAAGGAATGGTCTTCATGGGATGGCCTGGTTAGTGCCAAACCAACACACGGGGCTGGAATCAGTGTGTGGAAGGGAGGAACTTTGGGAAAATTTTCAAACTCGTGATTGTGAAGGTTGCAATTTCCATATAGTCTCAGTTGGGGCCTGTGGAAACACACCTCCAGCAGGAAGCATATGGCTTAGAGATCTGCCAAAAGTACATTCCTGGCCATAGGAGTCTTCCAGGAGTCAAAATATCAGCTGCCCCTCCAAATTCATTCAGTCATTCAAGCATGCCAGCAATTAAGGAGTAAACTTTGTCCTCCGTGATCTCAACAAGAAACCTTCCTTGATATCCACAAAGCCTGAATTCAATATGATTTTAATGGAGAGAATTTCAGAAGGAGTCACTAAAACTCTTATTATGAAATTTAAAACAAACAAACAGAACCAGCATTAAATGTAAAAAATCCAGCATCCTCCAAATTTCTGAAATGTTCCTACAGCAGGTAACAGAAATCATTTGGCAGTGAGATAAGAGTGATTTCAGGAACAAATATGTCTTGAAGTTCTTTATAAAGAAACAGCAGGAAAATACAGAGGTAACATTTGCAGGAGGTCCAAGTTTTGTTCGCAAACTTAATTTCAGAATATTAAATTTGATACACCTGCATCTGAAATACTATTTATTTGCGTGTTTTTACTGAACTTATGTTTACCTCAGTAATGATTCCAATTCCTTCTCCTCTCCTCACAGAACCCATTTTTAGAGGTCAGAGTTACAGACACACCAAAACGGTCCCGCAGAGATTTCGGTCTCGACTGTGACGAGCACTCCACAGAATCCCGATGTTGTCGCTACCCACTGACCGTGGATTTTGAAGCCTTCGGGTGGGATTGGATTATTGCACCTAAGAGATACAAAGCGAATTACTGCTCCGGAGAATGCGAATTTGTGTTTTTACAAAAATACCCACACACCCACCTCGTACACCAAGCAAACCCCAGAGGTTCGGCAGGCCCTTGCTGCACGCCCACCAAGATGTCCCCCATAAACATGCTGTACTTCAACGGGAAAGAACAAATAATATACGGCAAGATCCCGGCCATGGTTGTAGATCGCTGCGGGTGCTCATGAGACCCTCATCAGATCCACCGCCTCAGAAATTGTGGAAGCTACCAAAAAAAAAAAAAAAAAGAAAAAAAAAGGAAAAAGAAAAAGTTCTACCCCCTCAGCAGTCTTTCAAACTGTGAAGTTACGTACACCAGGCATTGCCGACCTCCTGTGTGCTGTATGATAGGCTATCGTACAGATTTAGTGCAGCGCCAGCTACAGAACGTGAACTAAAGGACTATAGAGTTACCTGACGGCTGGTTTTGAGCCAGCAAAAGAGAAAAGCTACAATCAAAATCACCGGATTTAATACAGGAAGTTCTTACATTATGAGGGAATCAATATTCAGTTATTTGGATGCAAATTTATATGCAGGTTTCAGTACACGTTGGTAATCAAAAGCAAGCTCCTTCTCATCTGAGGACAGAAGGAGTGGGCTTTTAAGTTCATTTCTTCACAGCTTCACTTAATAGCATATTTACAGGAAAATATATACTGGTAACATATACACCACTACACAATACCACCAGAATCATCCTTAAACACTTGAATATATAGTGCAGACTTCTGAAATGTATCAGATGAAATTCCACATAAATGGACAAATCCTGAAATTAGGGATGGCATAGTGTATTTAGTGTGTTTCCATTCCTTTTTCTCATTAGTATGTTAGTAATCAATGGCAATGGTGCTACATAAGCAGGCTGAGTAAATAGAAAGATAGTTATACAAGTGAAAGGATTTAGGCTTAATAATGAATTTGCCCTATCCTCAGGTACACTACTCAACATTCGCAAGAAATAGGTATTTTTTAAATGAAAAGGAATAGTTTTCTAGATGTAGTAAAACAGAAGGCAGCAGAGAAGTCCAACATTCAAATTGCAATCCCACATTTTAACCTGCCTTTGCAACATTACCATTTGCACTATGGTAAACCAATGCAAATATTTGGTTGCTACAGATATTGTTTAAAAAACCACTTTGATATAACTGATTTGTGTAATATGTATGCATCAATATTTTGTAAATAAATTTTTATTTTTTAATCACTGTTGGTATATGTTCATCACAAGAAAAGAATGACTTTAACCTGTACTTTAGTTTAATAAAAAACCCAATATTCTTTTCATAATATAATTTTCTGGATTTTAACACAAATAATATGTAGGAACAATGCAACAAAGTAAACCATATGCTGAGAATTACTACATTTTATAAATTTTTTACTTTGGTATGAGCCATCTGTGATAAATGATGGGTGTTGACATGTTTATAAGGTTCTTTGGGTTACTGTTTTTATGGTCATTTTGATCCACAACTGAATTTCCATACTTTGAATGTTATGTTCATAAATAATGATGATACCACAAAAGATTGCTATTAAATGCATTTTATTATATTTAAAAGTTTGCAGCAAAGTATTTTCTGTATTTGACTAAAAATAGTATATGGATTTCCACACAAATTCTGTATATTTTCCTTATAGTAAAAAATAGTTAATTGAAATTAAAAAAAAAAAAATCTATTTCCTATAAATTCCATTTCATTTTACATATGAAATAGAACTGATAAACCAGGTGTTTGTTAAGAAAACACAACCACTGTTAAAACATCTTCATGTTAGTGTGATGCACGTTTTTGTTATATTCCAAAATTCAGTTTTGAATTTTCCTTTGTGTAAAACCACCCTAAAATTGCAAAAATGCTTGATTTTCTTTCCCTTCCTCTTTTGCATATTTTCTGCCTAGGTCGTAAATATTTTGTATTGATTTTTTTACTTTTTTTAATTTGTATGTAAGGACATTAAAACGAAGTTTGAGCGATGAGGTTTGAAACTTAAAAGCAAACAGATTTTCTGCAATTTCTTTTGAATGATTAGGAGTTCTGCTAAAGCTGTGTCTGAGCATGAAGCAGATGTTCAACTTCTCCTGATGCAGTTCATCAGAGCAGGTCTCTGGGGCCCTTAAATACACTTTCAATTTAGTTTCCCACAAAACACCATCAGATTAAATAAAAATCTAAAAACTCGTGGAATGAAGACTCTTGGTGAAGCCACAAGAAGTAAAAGTACAACGCAATTCCCCTCTTCATAAGACAAAGTTACAGAATTAAGGGAGAAATGCTATGTTTGCTGAAGTTAATGGCAAGACTTCCACTGGCTTTAAAGGCAGACCAACATTTTACCCTTTGACTTATAACTCGTGACATTCAGGCACCAAGTAGTCCCATCCTGGCCATATGAACTATCAATAGCATCTCCTTGCATGAGGCTCTTCAACCATTCAGAGACTTCAAATTAACTTCCATGGTATACCCTGTAGCAGGACATTCATTAGCTTTAATTGGGTCAGTTCATATAGCAACAGCTGCAGAGATGCAGCAGCATGAATTGTGGAGTTGATAGCGAACTAAATGTATTCCCAGTCTGCACCACAGCCCTCTTACAACACCTGCAGGATTATTTTTACTCAGGATAGCTAAACTGAAGCTAATGCAAATTCAATTAGCCCCATATAAGTGACATCATTGGCTGCCTAGTAATAACTGTGCCCCACATAAAAGCAGTGCATAAAAGATGGAATTTTTTTTCCTGGAATCAGTGAAAAAAAAAATTAAACCAAAAGCAAGAAAATAAATAGTATGTATTCCAAAAAGCATCAACTCCAACCAGCATTCCATCATGATGTTCAGACAAATTTTATTCCATGGAAATTTTACGCAGTATGTGTCCTTTATATTTTGCCAAATTTGAAATTACCATATAGCAGTCTTGGCTCCTATGTTTTTAATATGGACCTCACATACAAGTGGCTACTCACAGAACATGTACTGGGTTTTGATCTTATTGATTTTAGATGCTGAATGATTCATAGTTACTGTGCTTATTGACAATCAATTTGAGATGTCAATGATTCATCCTACTCTTATGATTGCATCCTAATATTTCCAAGGCTTTGGTCCCAGAGACTTCAGCAGCATCTGTGAGTGCTTTGTGTGGCTCTCAAATCTCACTGTTAAGCTCTGTATTCAGAATAAGGAAAGTAGGCAATAAGGATAATTTCTGAGAAATAAACAGCATCATTTCCTTGCCTGGCATCCGAAGAATCCCACAGGAATGAACCAGGTAGAACCCAGCTTTTCAAGGCAGTGTTCAAGTGCCCCAGGATGCATGTGCACACCTGCAACAGGGCAGTTCCTCATCTCAATTTTCCTTATGCTTTTCCTCTTGGCTCTACTGTGCAGTTCCTTCCCTCCCAACACAAGCCAATTCTTTTCCAGTGCTGTTCTACCCCTACCTCTTACCCAGTCTCAGTTACACTGTGGTTCAAGCAGCATTTCCCTCCCCTCTTTCACAGCATTTCCCATCCCATCCCAGCCAATGTCCATCCCCAGCACACTCCATGCTCTGCCCCACAGCCCCTTTCGCAGAGGGAACAGCCCCCCTGCAGCATTGCTCTCCTGCCCCTTAACTAGATCCAAAGCATCCTGCTTCTGCTGGATGCTGTGGTTAAGGGGGAAACCTTCCAATATGCTCAACACAGCCTTTGGGGAATTTAACAGCTGAACACAGAAGTCATCACCACTAAGCTTAAGTGCACTGCAATTTTTCACAGATGTACTGCTTTGCTAAACATGAACAGATTTCAAAGGAAGAACCAAAGGCCAAATCCATTCATAGCTTTAGGTAGCTTTTCCTCAATTCTGTAGAGTCTAGGTTTGGGGTTTGTGGTTGTTCTTCAGGGGTTTGGGGTTTTTTTAAAGGGTTTTTCGGGTGGTTTCTTTTTTAATCAGAAGGGTTATTGAATTGACTCATTCTTGGATCTGAATGATCTCTTTTGGCTAAATGTCTCAAAAAATAAATCTCCCTGAGACTAGGCTTGGACAGTTCAGTCCAGGCAGAGATATTTTGTTAAAGCTACAGCAAAACAGAGCAGAGTATTATAATCTGAAGTACTGGATGGACAAACTTAATAACCAAATTATCCCACCTCAACTTATAAATTCGGTGAATATTAATTAAAAAAAAGTTAATAATTAATATATTACAGAAGGCACTAATTAGAAGCTTTACATAACAAGTGTCTTTCAAAACAACTATTTACCTATGTAATTCAGCAAAAATGTAATGAAAAACCTTAGTTATCTGCTTTAATTGACCTAAGTTAGCTGTGTGCTTGCACTTCAGCTTCCTCCCAGCTATGTTATCTACAGAAAGTAGATACCTATACATTGATCTTGGCAAAGAGCCACTCAGTAAATTATAATGCAAATGCATTTGCTTTTCTGTGAAGTCCTCCCCTGTAAGAACTAAGACCATAACTCTTCCTTGAAATGCAAGTGTAACACATTTAAATCCATACAAATAAGATGTTAACAAGCTCTGGAAACACTAAAGCACAAATTCTCTCTCCTATCTAGTTTATAAAGGCCCTGATGAGATCCAAAAGAAAAACTTAAGTCTGCAGGCCAACTTCTGAATTTGAATAGGCAAGAAGTACAGCTCTGTTCACTCTTGGCTCCTTCTAAATAATCAAAACAAGTGATAGTGCTAACATCTGTTGTAGCAATCTTCCAGAAAAAAAGAAATGGAGAAGTGCAAACATGCAGTTGATTCAACAGTGAACTACTCCCATTAATCACTAGGTGAACTGATAAATTAAGCAGAATCAATCTCTTCGGTGGCTGGACAGGGCAAACTTGAGGGATGAAGAACTACTACTATAGGGGGTACTCTACTGTCTGTTCTCAGTGCTCTAGAAGTATAGATGAGAACAAATCTTGAAGCTCTCTGTAGATGAGGTGTCAAGATCAGCAATAAGCTTTGCAGTTGGCGTAAATCTGGGTGATTTTTGCCAGCATTAGCCACTAAGGCTTTCTGAGGCTACAGGAAAGACTGTTCCTATTCTTCAGAAGTCAACATAATTCACACTACATATGCTTTCAATATAATACTTTCCACAGAAAGTAAAATAGCTTAGTGTCCATGAGTCAACCTGTGATGCATCAGTTCTTAACCTAGAGGCTCTCCAAGCTCTATATCTAATTATGCATCAAAAGTAACCAGTGGCCCTTAAAGCTATTACCTTTTCTCCCTGTAGAAATGTCTTTCACTTACAAGTCAATAACCAAGTTTAATTTCAAACCTGTTGCTTTTCCATTATAATTATCATACTACCATGAGCCTGTAAAAGTAAAGCCAAACCCTCTTCAAGAGCTAAAAGGATTCAGCTCGAATGAATCCCACCTGTGGAAAGGCAGAGGGACAAGTCCTGGTTCAGCACTGTTTTTCATGTTACTCCTGATGGAGGCTGTATGGCCTTTGGGTGAGAGCTGGTTAGGATCTCTGGGCAGGAAAGAAGAATAATGCTTGGTTTTGGCAGCAAATGTGCGTTATGTTCCACGTTTCACCAGTAAAATTAACAAGAGCAGTTAAAGATTATGATGCTATGCAAAGAATATAGGAGAAAGCATTATAGAGGCATTACCTGGTAGACATCTTCCACAAAACTTAAAAAAAGGCAATTTGGGAGACAACTCCAACACAAACAGAACAATATACTGAAATCATGTAAGGTATAACATTCATATTAAAGCAGTTATGCAAAGGATGGTCTGCTTCTATGTGTTCCAAGGAGACGAGTATAATATAAAAATTAAAATGTAAGGAGTTAAATAATTGATAGGATGAAACCAAGGCAGAAAGAAAGATTTTATCTTCCCAAATCCAGGATGATACTGGAGGCATTTGATAAACTTTTACTTCCTCTGCCTTCAGAATGCTTAAACTGAAAAGTTCTGCTCTTTGCCAAAATTAAAAGATGTTTTAAAGTAAACCTAATTTAAGCATAAGCTGTTGCATCATAATCCGAATATGTAGCAATCCAAAATATAATTGCTCATGACTTGGCTAATAGGTTGCAGTTAAGGTTCATGACTCATGAACTCCTTCTGCAGAAATCCTTATCAACTTTTCATCTAGGAGAGGAGCAATTATCTTCCCAACCAAGCAATAGTACTAGGGAGATAGCACTGCCAATTCAATGCCATAAAGCACCCTGAAATAATGCTGTTTCTTAAGGATCATACATCAGAGCATGAAGAGCAAAGACTTTCATTAGACTTCAGCATCAGTGCATTCAACTAAGAGGTTTATTCTCATTTCAATCAAACAGTAATCTGCTCTCCTACTAGCATTTTCATCATCATCATCATCATCACTTTTCGTGTTTTGTTATTCATCAGATTTGGCACTGCTGACATATGAAACAGCAAAGCTGAACACCTGGCTGTCACACATTATGGCATCAGGTTGCAGCTTCGCCTCGCGCTCAGCGCCAGGTGGTCGGAGGAGCGGAAGGCACGTCACACACATGCCTTCGGGCTGAGCTCAGCTGCCTCCTGTATGTGCTGCATGTGCAGGGCACAGCCTAGGTACTAGCCCAGGGAAAAACGCCCATCCCTTCACTGCTATAGGTGACACCTACCACAGTTTGCTGCTGGTTGGCCAGAGGTTTCTGTTCGGATGTGCTGCTCACCCATC